GACGCAACTTTTTCTTGTTGACAAAATTATATTTGAGCATTAATTTCCAGATGAGAGTAATTTTAAATTAATGAATATAATTTGTGAATAATTCTGATCAAAATTATTTCAATATTGTGATTTAAAATGTTGAATGTTGTTTTTTTTTGTGATTCCAAAAACGATCGATTAAATGGCTTGAAATATATAATAAAAATACACATTTCGAATTAAAATTTTTCAAGTATTATCTATTCTACTTTCAATTGTTACTTTATTGATTAGAAAATTTTCTTTTATTAAGCAAGTCGTATATAAAGTAACGATATTCAAATGTCATGAATAGTTGTTGTGAAATTTTTAAAATAAAAACAGCGCACACTGCTCCTGATTTATAACTTAAAGCTCCCATTTGTTAGTTTTAAACGATTCTTATTTGAAAACTATTACTACAACAAAAAATACAAATTTGCAAGAGAAAAAAAAGTTGCTTCTTTTAATATAAAAGATCATATTCCACAGACTACTTACATGTAGAGATTGCTTACATGAGAATTTCTTACATTATAATTAGAAAGTCTAATTCATGCTAATTAATTCGATTCAATTATTGTACTGGCCGGAACGTGCACACTTCAACGATTTACATGTGTGCGATAAGTAAAAAAAGTGCATATCTATAAATACGTCCTCCTCCCCATAATTCCTTCTCAAAGAATGCAGTTAAAAAAAAAAAGAACCTTCTTCTAGATCTTTTTTATTTCTGTGCGACCTTCAAGTATATCATATCATATCGTCTCGAGGAAAATGAGGATTAATAAATAGGACGGAATTGCCTACGTGCCTGCGTGCGTTCACATCAAAGCCGAGATTTTCAGGGCCTTTTCATTATCGTCACGCTCCATTTTGCTAAGCTAATACTTGAATCTTAATGATGACACCTGGACTACTTTTACTTACGTGGATCGCTGATAACGCGCCGCATGCCGGTGTCGCGAAGGTATTGAAGACTGCGCCGCCCATTACGGTACCAACACCGAGGTCGGACTCGGTCAGGAAAGTGCCGACAACATTAACAAACAGCTCGGGAAAACAACTCGCGGTGGCGAGAAAAGTCGCTCCAGCCACGTCGGTGCTAATGTTCAGTCGCGTGCATATAATGTCGAGCGCCGGTAACAGGTAGTCGTTACAGACGAACGCCGTCAGAATGAAGCAATAGAAACCAAAGAAGATGTGAAGTATCACCGCGCCCTGACTACGCTGCTCATACGTAAATATCTCCGGAAATTCATCGATCGAGCGCTTCGTGCAATTCGTTTCACTTCTCTTGTCCGCGGTATCCTCCTGATCCGCGGACAGGAGAATCCACTTGTTTTCGCGAATGCCGAAACCTCTCTTTGAAACCTGGTCATCCTTTGGAAGTAAATCAAGAATCGGGGCTACTGGCAGAGGTCCGTCTAAGCAAAACAAGCAAAGTATCTATTCAAGAAAAATTCAAGTTGATTGTTTAACATACATTGAAAGGGGAAAACATTTTTTTCTATTTAACAAATTTTCATTAATATTTTTGCGTATCTTTTAAGTCACTAAAGACAAATTTGACGACAAATTTCGAAAATTTAGAATTTTCGTATATTATAAAATTTTTTTTTTAATAGAAAGAAATACATGAAAAATTTACAATTAACAATACAATTGTTGTACAACGGTCTTATACAATTTGTTCAATATTTCTTTGAATTTTTATAATTTTTCATTAATTTACATTTAATACAAAAAAGGTTAAAATAGTTTTATCATTCTAATTTTATTTACAACTAGAAAAATATTGATTAATAAATTAAGATATCACTAAAAAATAGTTCATATTTTTGTCAAGTATAAATTATATCAACATTTGCATATTTGTAATCAAATATGAAGAAGCATTAAAAAAGATTGAAAAGAAGAAGACATATTAGTCTATTGCAATGTCCCAAGGACAAGGATTAAGTAACATTCAATCAAAACTGAGAAAATTAAACTTTTTCTTCTTAACCTTCTACAATTTAAATTCTTTTTTCGTGTTTGAAAACGATTTACGTAAGCGATTTACTGGCAAGCGTCCATTTTAGAATGTAAACTAACAATAATTTTCTATTTTTATATATTTTATTATAAAAATCAGATTCCTAATATATAAAATTTTTTATTTTAAAGTCAAACAGCTTATCAAATTGTTACTAAAGCATACTATAACTAAATTATAATAAAAATGAAATAAAAACTTAAAAATACATATAGATATATAAATATGCAAGTTCAAACTGTTACATGGTGTTACAGAGAATTAAGATTTTTTTTTTTATAAATTGTACGACAATATCATTTTAAATCTACATTTCGTAAATTGCATCATTATTTATACGCGTAACTTAGAGTACATTTTTATTTTATTATGAACGGAGGGTACAACACAACGTAATATGTTCTTCTTCTTTTATCATTATATTTCCAACGTTATCAAATATTTTATTTTCTCTTTTATCTGTAAAAGGTATTTTCGAGAAAATGAAGTTTTTGTTAATTTACTTCCAGATATATTTCTGACACTTATATTTTATTTTCCATTTTCTGTGATAACAATGTGTTCCTGTGCTAACATATATTATCTTCGTAATTATCTCGAACTAAAAGTCTCGATGTAACGCGTGACTTGAAGTATACTAAACGTTAAAATCAATACTATGTACGATACATATCTCAAGATTATTCGATAAGATTATAGGCATTTACATTTATAAATCGAATAAAAAAAAGAGGCAGAGAAAAAATGGTGTTTTACGTTAGTGCCGTGACCATTAAAATAAAAATGACATAAAAGTTTTCGCTAATTACAAACCGTCGGCGTCCAACAATTAGTCATTCCTAAGTTTCTTTCTTCACTTCATTTTCATTTATATGCACGAAAGCACGCATGATAAGAACTCATTTTCTTTCTCCAATTTTTCAATTACTACGCCGCATGAATTTTCCTTGTCTCATTATTTTTTTTTCTTTTTCTTCACTTCACCATGCATTTGCATTATTCGTATGCGTATGTCACATTCGGTGCAAATATCGCGCTAAAGCCTTGTGTCCACGATGCCTAGAAATCGATCCGAGATGAAGAGAAAAAAATTTGATCAATCGTACTGATCAATTGGCGGATAAAGATAGCCGCTGCAATTGGCCAATTTTTTTCTCTGCTCGAGATCTCGGATCGACTTCTAGCGGATCGAGGCGGACACGAGGCTTAAGAACGGGCCAATATAATTAATATATTGGCGCGAGCGAATCAAGTTGAGCAGTAAGTAACAACAAGTATGTGACAATTGACGATGACTATGTTGATAAACTCACCGTTGATCGGTCGCACGTATCCCGCGGCACTGTCGGCAGGCACGAGTGCGAGAACGACGAGTACCGCCGACGCGATACCGATACTCATCCTCGTGTGAATATCGCGCGGAGTCCCGCGATGAGCCTCGCGCTCCCACGCGTATCTGTCGAAGCTAAATAATCGCGGGCGGCGCGATGCCACTCGGACGAAATAAACGGTAAACTGCCGTCGGAACTGCCACGGTAACGACATTAATGATAAACTCCGTCGATCAGAGGTCCCTCACTCCTTCCTACTTCGCGCATTCCGAAGGCTTTTATCTTCCTTAAGCTTCCTCGTCAAGTGATGCGAAATTAGATAAAAACATGTTTGAAAGTTCACGCGTTCGATTGTTGATCGTTACAACGTGTACACCGTTATCTCTGAGAATCCGCTAATGGACGGAAACGAATATTCCGTGAATAATAAATGAGCCTCTAACTTTTTTCCTCATGATCCTCACGGTCTGTCTTGTACGACCATTTTAAAGTTATGAGACAGTAAACGACAGTCTGCAACACGGAAATCCAAACACAGTCGGTGACTAACATCGTCAATATGAATGAATTCCATTCTTTATCTTTCGTGATTCCCATACATCGGATTAAATTCAATTTTGATTCAATTGATTCTACGTATAATCTGATTTTAAACATTACTGCATTTATGAAATTTAAATAATTTTTGAATTTTTGAAAGTACACTTACTATATAGGCATGAACGGAATTATGTCAAATAAGTAGGCTGAAGATAATATACGGTGTATCACCTTCCTAAATGTAAAATATAATTGATTGAAAGTTTGAAGGTTTATCGTCTAAATATAGATAAGTTTTGACAAACAATAATAATACATGCACAGTTTTAGAAAATAATTTCATATTAAGTATGTTTAAGTAAGTGAAATAAGAATCTCTGTTAAGAAATTAATTTTGAAAATATATTCTAATTATTTCACAGAAGTTTGCAAGCCTTTTCTTTTTACTTCGTAAATTTTTCTTCAGATATAATATATTATATTATTATTATATACAAGATCCATATACAAGATACGTAATTAAATTATTTTCTACAGAATGCAATCTTAACGCATTTCGTAATGACCAAATCTTCTAAGAAATCGAATACATATAATATTATAAATGATTATATATCATAAATAATTATTAATGGACGATATGATGCTACTTACAAATATTAAAGCAAATTTAATTTTTATATTCCCATCAGCTATAGGCTAATTACAAGTATTATTTGTAAGCTTTTCTTCAAATAATAAAGCTCCTGGATATGACATAGCTTCTGCTCAAGTATTATCATCACAAAAAATCCATCTTCAAATTTATTATCTTGTTCTTTTCTGAAAAATTATATAAAATTTCTATACTTCCGTCAGATTTGGAAATTTCCGTCAGTTGAGATTTTTCCCTAAACCTGGAGTTTCCTTCTCTGGAATTCATCTCCCCAACAATTACAGATCAATCAGTCTTTTTACAAGGAAACATACGAAAATATTCCCCTCCGATTTTCATCAACTTTTAACATATTATTTTTGAGAAATAATTATAAATGCTTATATACGCACATTATTCGTATCCATTCGTGCCTTCCATTTTTCACGTGACATGTTCTACTTGCATTTTCCGTAACAGGAAATGATGATAAAAAAATATATTTCTGCGTATAATCACGGAAATCTTCATCACACACTATTTTCTTAATTAATTTATCGATCTCGACTTTGCATCATATTATTTTTACTGTCTCGGATTTGATTATCTGTAGCAATTGTATATAAATTCTGCTAGAATTTACATTTTGTTGTGGAATATTCTTCAATATTTAATAAAGATAAGTTACTATTGTTCGCCGACGATCCACAATCATAACTATGGTTCCATAATTTTCGTTGATCCATGTTATTAGTAAGATTAATAAGATTGTTCCTCTGATCCGGCGCTATTCCTCTGATTTTATCGTTATTTCTTTAATTCGATGCCCCATCTAAAATTTTGATTTGTTTCGTTCGTTATTATTTATTTAATTATTAATTGTTAATGTGTGAGATTGCAGTTGGTTGGTAGCATGGCCGATTACATTTTTCTTGCTTACGATTTTTAAATTACACATAGAATGAATCTGTGAAAATCTGATCTTAATTCGTTTCTGACATTAATTTTGATGGTTACAGATATTTTTACAGATGTTATTCTGATATATATTTTGGAATTTGGATATTTTGGAATCAGAAGTTGAAGATCCAGAATCTTCGCTGAATGATCATAATGAGAGTAAAAAATTTAGGTATCATTTGTGACCAACCACGTTGACTTTTCGCCATAGTTATCAAAAAATATTGTTGCATTGTTCTTTAATTTTT